ACCAGTGTGATGATGCTCATGATCATCTATTGAATTCTAAAGTTTGCGGACACTCAATATATTGTATATTCTGATTTCCTAAGATAACAATTATGTTTCCCGGAGATCCCCTTCCTGTCCTAGCATTTAGGCCATGTATAAACTAAACTTACCACATTGGCTATATGCTATTATTAAATATTAAAATTCTTTATCTGCTCTGCCATTACAATATTTTCCTTGGAGTTGTATTTATGAAATGCAACAACTGCCAAAATAGTGTGTTCTTTATTAATAAAGTTAAACCCCCCCCAAGGGGCCCCACGATTTGTCAGAATAGCAGCATTTTAGGATTAACATACTTTTAAAACACAAAAAGATTCATTATGAAAGAGAGATGTAAAACGTTATTAAAATGTTAAGATGAGCCAGGCATGGCACACATCTTGAATCCAGCACTCAAGAGGCAGAAGCAGGCCGATCTGTGTCAGTAAAGGCCTGCCTGGTCTACATAGTCAGGTCCAGGATATCTGGGGCTACAGGGGGATCTTGTCTCAGAAGAATTTTTTTTAATGGATTCAATGCTTTTCATTTATTTACTTTTATACTTGAGAATTTCATACGTAAGTATGGTCTGCATTATTTCCACTTTTACCGGTCTTCCAGCAACTTCTCCAATGTCCCCCCCCCCACTCCCTCTCAATTTCTTGTTCTCTTCTTTGACTATTATATATATAATGTACTGGGTCCATTTAGTGGTGCTATTTGTACCTGTTCTTGGGGTTGCCCATTTGGGGTTTAATAAACCTACTGACACATCACATAATATAGAAATGTGACTAGTTGCACATGTTTAGCTCACTATTATACAACAAAAATCACAGTGCTAGACATGGGAAACTTCCCTTTTTTTTGTTCGTCAGAGTAGATCAAGAGACTCTCAAAATAACATGGGTTATTGCCACAGTCCTTGGTTGTCTCCCAGAACTCTAAGGTAAGACTCTATTGCTCAGGGGATAACATACTTTGTGCATAGGACTTGGAGAAACTGAACTGAAACGGAGGAGGAGGCTTCCTCCCTAAAGACTAGTTCCCACAGTATCAGAAGACATTGTGCAAGCTGCCAAGGGAGGAAACCAATCAACGATTTCTGCCCAGCTGTAAAGTCTATGAACCACAACAATGACCAGGCCAGCACATTATCCGTATTGGTGCAGTAGTGGCACTTTTATCTTGGGAGTAATCAACAGCTGTCTAATTGGACTCAGGGCTCCGTAAGTGGGAGGGAACATGTGCGATACTGTACACATATCCAAGGACATATGGCTGTAGAGGTCATAGACCCCGGAGAAAAACCTACTTCCGTCACTTCCCTACACTAATTAAAAAAAATTAACATCACCCATTAGACTTCTGACCAACTCCTGTGCTGGGTTCCTCAGGCCGACTTCATGATCGCCCATTAGAATGGTCTCAGTTACGTCAGCACTTTGAGTCCTTTGCTAAACAAGTCAATAGTCTCAGTTTAAACTCCCAACTTGCCCACCTGTCCAAAACCAAGCCTTTGGTCATCCATATGTGCCAAAATTACTTAAAAATGCTGTTCCTTTTCTCCCAGATAAATGTAATTTTCTTCTTTAAACCCAATCCCAACTTTCAAACTTGGTGAAATCTCATTAACCATATTTTTCTACTTTGATCTTCTATAGCAGTGATGAGAAACCGGTTTTATCACACAGTTTCAGGGTATGTTAATGTATGCGGTGCTGATAAATATACACATGGCTAAATTAATCTCAAAGACCAAAACTGTAAGAAGAAACAGTTTGTAGCCAACAGCAGCAGAGATTATCAGCCATTTATATGTAAGTTAGGAAAAGTTGCCACGTAGTTGTAGAGATCATGGAAAGCCCTAATATTCGTTTCTAGACTTCTGCCCCAAGCAACCACCTTCTCCCTCTAAACACATATGTATCAAGACACTGTGAACAGATAGAGCATGGGAGGGATCACCTCACATGTAAACACATGCTCTAGTCTATAGTGGACTTACTGAGTTCAAGGAAGGAGCCTGGCTGCCACAGGGGTTCATTAGCAAGGGTGAAAGTAAAGAGCCTGTGTTAGAATGTACAACCTCTGAGAATTCGTAATTCAGCATCGATTACTTGGATAACCATACACACGGAGCTTGTCTACGGCCACATATTTGCAAATAAGAACAGCCTTTGAGTAGTCCCACAAGCACCATGCTATGTTATCCTATGCTTCTATTTTCCTTACCTGTCGTATGGGAAAAAAATAATAAAACCTAAAAGGGCTAGAGCCATAAATAGCACTTGGCACAGAGAAATCAAACAGTAAAACTCACAAACTATTATTATTCCATCATAAACTGGGAATTTACTAGTCCACTGGAAATTTGTCTAAGGCTAGAGTTTTAATTACACGCTATAAACAAACATGAACAGAGGATACTGTCGAATGTATGTGGCGTCACAAGGAAGATGCAAAAGACCAGGGCGATTTTGAGTCAGTCTGGCCAAACTCAATTCCCAGTCCTGCTTCCACATCTGAATTTAGAGTGAGTCACGGGGAAAATGAACAAATGCTTTATCATACTTCCATGCAATTTCATTTCTTCTCAATTTGACGTTGCCTTACTTAATCTAAAGGTTAACAATATGGAAAGTATTTATAGTAACAAATCATTGTGCATATGTTTGTCTATAGAATTGAAGAACTGAAAACGCAACATTAAAATAAATATAGATTAAATTAGAGAGCTGGACTAACTGCTTAGAGAATCATAGGCATTTTCATGTCATTGTCTCACAAAGCATGAAGGATTTGTTTGGTTTCATCATTAAGCAAAACATATTCATAGTCTTTCTAGATATTGAAGGACAGGGAACACCTACTTGAGAATAATAATTTGAGAACAAGACGGGACGAAGTCATTAGATTCATTATTTTAAAAAGTGTTTACAAATTTAACAAGTAGAGAATTAAAACTATTGACAATAATGTGAATGAGAATAGTGCAATTTTTACTAATTTAGCTGTTTGTGAACTCAACCATTCTTCAATTTCATGACAATTAATGAAAACAAATTTAGCATTTTTCTTTAATTTTCACTCCTTCCCTCTCTGAAGAAGGTTTTAAGGAGCAATATAAAATGAGACCTTGCTCTCTCAACTAGACTCAAGTTGCTGTGAATTCTAGTTTGGCTGTCTTCCTGACACATAATTACTGTGACTAGGAGCAGAAAAGGTGATATATTTATCTGCATTGCTTCCCGAGAGCAGATATATAATTCTACAGTTTAACATGAGAAAGTAAGAGAAGTCACTCTAAAGGGTGTGGGAGTGTTGCAATTCTAGCAGAGTTGATCACCTAGAGTGGGGAGGGTGCAGTAGGCACGGTGCCTGCCACGGAAGCACAAGGACTCAAGTTCGGATCCCAGCATCTATAAAAAGCCAGGAGCGCTAGAAACCCCAGCAAAGTGGGGCAGAACCAGGCTGGTTCTTGGGGCTCCCTGACCAGCCAATCTCCCTGAAATGGCCCAGGACAGGTTCAGTGAGAGATGCTGTCTCAAAAAGCAGAAGGTGGAGAGCAACCAAGGAGGAAACCCGCACTGAACTCCAGCCAACACGGGCCATACAGGAATTCTGCATGTGCTGCACACATGTGCACGCACCCATATACACATGCATACACACACATGCACATACGTGTACACACAAGTTGATTAATTTAATAATTTTCAATATTTAGTAGACTCAGCTAAGCAAGTCTTAAATCTTTATTTGTTTAAGACATATCTAAAGTAAGTTCCTAATTTCATCGTGGCTTAACATTTTTGTAATTTCAATAATTTTGTAAAAAATTTGGCTCATCTAGAAATATACTCATATACATAAATTAAAAGTAATAAAAATATTCAAAAAAGAAAACCAGGCTAAGTACTTCTCAGAACGTGAATTCTGAGATTTGTAAGATCTTTTTGTTTTCAAAACAAGAAAATTCACAACTGAAGCCAAGTTAAACAATGTACTGAAACATGATTATATAACTTTAAATATCAAGCGGCTGAACAGTGTAAGGATAAGAAGATTATAGCTGTCACAGAAACTTTGGTTAAATGTATTCTTTTTGATGGGGCTGTCACTTAACAAATTTCTTTCACATATATTATCATGTATAATCCACATAACTATGTATAGAGTAATTAGACATACTTGTCTAGGAAGGCAAAGTGTGCACTGTGAACTGTCATAGAACATGAGAGGCTGTAATTAGCACTATTCTTGTTAGTCAGTATGAAATGTTTTGGCATGGTGAAATCACCTCGGCTACACCTGAGGGCTGTGTAGCACGCAGAAACAGATCATTGAGATTCTTAGGCACCACATATTTACTTGTCTAATAAAACAAATGTCAAGCACAATTTATATTGAATATTAACATTGTTTTTGTTTAGTTTTCTGTTTTGGTTTTTTATAAAGTATCATGTAATCCAGATTGGTCTTTAACTCCTAATTCTCCTGCCTCTAAGCACTAAAGGCTGAGTTTGCAGGCATGTGTAACCACACACAGCCCAAGAATTAACACTTTATGAATGAATGTGTCAACATGTATCATCAACCCACTAAGAATTAGTTTCTTTAAAGGTAGTTTGGATTTCTTCATCATGGTATGTCATCTAGTAATTGTGCATTTATGCGCTCATAATTTATTTTGCCAAATGAATTTTATTAGTATTGTGTTTACTGATTAAAGGCACATTAAAAAAAACTAAATAGAAGAACAAAACTTTTATTTCTCTGAAAAACACATACCAAATCTTGGTAACTATGCGTGAAAGTGTAAATATCTACGGGCAGGGTGTAAATAAGCTATTCAAAAAGACATGATGTAGTTAGGAAATACTGTCATCTCACTATAAACCACATCCTTCTTGAATATTAAATTGTCATAAATTGTTAACACTTCAACGAGTGCAATATTTCCCATAATAAAAATTGCCACAGTGTTGTTTTAGAGCTACAGGTGTTATTCCACATCAGTAAATTCAGATAATACATGCTAGTTCAACACTGACCGCCTCCATGTGTTTAAAGTCATAAAAACAATCACTGAAACTGGGTAAATAAGGAATGAAAATGTGGTTTCCTCACTCAAGGAGAGTATTCTAGAAGTCAGTCCACTTAGTGGTAAATAATGTTTGACATTTTGGTCAGAAACAAAAGAAGAACACATTTCCACAAAGATTCAACTTCCTGGACAAAGTTGAACATCTTTTAATACCTCTTTTCAGTGGAGACCTAACTATGGCTGGTATGGCTTGACCAGTCATTCAAAGGAAGTCAAGTAGTCTTGCATACAGGTTGAATCAGAATATAATCCTAAAATTAGCTCTTTTGAGGTTTTAATATTTTTAAATTGTTCATTATGGTTCCCATCCTAAGGTCTCAGTATGTTCTGTATGAATCAACTGGCTTCTGTCCAGTAGAGGGCATGGCTGTGTATTTATGCAAGCTCTACATGGACAGGAAAATTCAAGGAAAAAAGTTCACTGGATAAATTCTTTGTTTATTTTCAAGACAAAAAACTGAGTTCCTAGGGAAAGGATGGGCTAAGTAGGGAAGACAACCAGAGTAACATTCTGTTTTTAAATATCAATGTTAATGGATATTTCAATCTCATCATGACTTGGATAAAATTCATTATTGATGGGGCTGGAGAGATGGCTGAGCAGTTGAGAGCACTGACTGTTCTGGCAGAGGACCTGTGTTCAATTCCCAGTACCTTCCTGATGGACAGCAACCCTGAGTAACTCCAGTTCCAGTGGATCTGACACCCTCGTCTGGCCTCCACGGGCACTGCATGCGTGCAGGGAAAACACTGATACACATCATAAATAAAAATTAGCCAGGTCATATATTCATCAAACTCTGGTGCACCCAACTTCATCAAAATAATACTACAGGACTTTAAGACCCAGATTAACCCCAAATCATTAATAGTAGGCTACTTCAATACCTCACTGTCTCCACTAGATAGGTCAACAGGGCAGAGAGTTAACCGAGAGACATCTGGATTAAACAAAACCACATACCAAATGGACTTAATAGATATCTACTGAGTATTCCACCCAAGCACCAAAGGACATACTTTCTACTCAGTACCCCATGGAACCTTGTCCAAAATCAACCATGTACTGGGGCACATAAGAAACCTCAACAAATAGAAAAAGACTGAAATAATTCCATGCATTCTATCAGATCACAATGCAATAAAGCTTACAATCAACACCTGAAGAAGCCCTAACCACCACATGAACACGTAGAGATTAAACAACACACTCCTGAATGATGAATGGGTCAAAAGAGAAATTAAGAAAGTAATAAAAGCATACCTGGAATTAAATGAAAAGGACAATACAACATGACAAAACCTCTGGGACACGCTGAAAAGTGGTCCTAAGAGGTATGGGGACACTGCGCTCTCTCTGGGTGCAGGGTGCGCTCACTCCCTGTGGATCCGCAGACTGCTCTGGGAAGCTGTGGCTCCGGGAGTGGCGAGTGCCCTGCAGGCTTTCCCGGCAGCTCGGCCCCGTGTCTCTGGAGCTGGCGACAGCTGGTGGCTGTCAACTTCTCTGGTGCTGAGAGCTTACTCTGCTACTGGAGCATTGTCCAGCCAGAATCCCGTCTCTATTTCACCTGTGTACCCTTTCTAAGGATTCGAGGCTCCTGGCCACTGAAGCCACGCAGGGAAGGAGTACGGAGACGGCAAAAGCTAGGATGTCCGTGGGTCGGTAACGGAGAGTGCTGCCCTCCGGGGGAATCAGGTCACCGGTACACAAGACTTAAGGCTCGGTTCAGTCTGTGCTTACAGCTTTATTGTCTGTAGGACCCAATCTCTGGGACCCAGTCTCTGACCCGTTCTCTCGTGCCCAATCTCCCATGCCCAATATCCCACTATTAAGAGAAGACTAGCATATTTTATACCATGGGGGTATTGGTAAAAGCTTTGGGTGTTAGATGCTCTGTGAGATATTCTATTTACATGTGGAAGTGGTTTTCTGCCACACTGCTAGACTTCTGGCCACCTGTAAAAATTACACAGGAAGGCATGGTATGCCTAGAGCCAAAGGCCATGTTTATGTCAGGGCATTTGTGGTGGCCACGTCAAAGGGAGAGACAGGAAAGATGCCGGAAAGCACCTTGCTATGAAAAGGAGCCCGCAGCACATATCCGAGCTGCATGAGCTGTCCGGTGTGAAGGGGCTTACAACTTTGCATAACAGAGGTCTCCAACATCTTCCTCTCTTTGATTTAAATATGAAGAAGTGCCATGCCAGCCCTACGGGTTAACTCATTTCATCTCAGGAGAATCCAAAGTTTGATAACTGACCATGACCTGTTTCCTGTATTGATTTTTAATAAATGGCAGTAACTGTCAGCAGAGAAATCTTAAAAAACAGTGAGCAAGCACAATATACAGCATTATCAGAGGGTAACAAGGGATAGGAGCCAAGGGATTGCTAAGCCAAATAGATTACAAAGTTTTGAGAGTGTAAACATTGGTTTTAACAATATTTGATTCAATTACAAAGAAACAGTACTTTTCCCAATATTACATAGTCCCTATGTTTAACAGTTATCAAGTCCAATTTTCTTTTATATGAAGTACAGTTCTGGTGAGAAAGTTTATTTTGGAGAAATTCTAGGCTGCCAGTCACTGATGTCACTGCTTGGTTCAGCCAAAGGCAGGGTCGGGTACAGCTTGTTGTCATGGCAACGCCTCCAGCATCCAGTGAAAGTTCAGTCTCTCCCAGTGGGGGGAAGAAGATTTCTTTTCTCTGCTAGCAGCTGTATAGGAGAAAAAGCTTCTCACACCTGAAATGTGATTGTTAGCCAGGTGTTTGAATCCACTTACCAGGAAACCCTTCCCATTCAAATTAGCAAAAAAAAAATAAAATACCTTGGAATAAACCTGACCAAAGATATTAAAGAGCTCTACAAGGAAAATTTTAAATCTTTAAAGGAAGAAATTGAGGAAGACATCAGAAGATGGAAGGCCCACCCATGCTCATGGTTTAGAATAATCAATATTGTGAAAATGATCATCCTGCCAAAAGCCATTTATAGATTCAATGCAATGCTAATCAAAAGTCCCATGATATTTTTTCACAAAATTGGAAAAAACCATCCTAAGATTCATATGGAAGCACAAAATACCTCAGATAGCCAAAACAACCCTGAGCACTAAGAGCAATGCCGGGGGGGATTACTATAACAGATTTTAAGCTCCACTACAGAGCTATAGTCATAAAAACAATATGGTACTGGCACAAAAATAGACCCATAGACCAATGGAACAAAATTGAAGACCCAAATATGA